ATTTATGATGAGCCTTGCTTCATGTATGCAGCTTCAACTGCCACCTTTACTCGTTTCATTCCCACGGTGAAGGCTCGATTTGATTATGGTGCCATGATATTCATCCTCACCTTCAGCCTAGTCTCAATCTCAGGCTATCGCGTGGAAGATTTGATCATGATGGCTCACCAAAGGGTAAGCACAATTGCAATTGGAGTCTCCCTCTGCATCCTCATAAGTATGCTGCTATGGCCTGTTTGGGCAGGCGATCAGCTTCACAATCAAACTATTAGCAACCTCGAAAAACTTGCCAATTCCTTAGAAGGTAATACACCACACACAAAATGATTAATGCTTTAAAGTAAATGTCAAAATTCACTTATAACTATAACTAAGCCATATGTCTAACATAATATTCACACACAGGTTATATAGCCGAGTACTTCAGCAATAATGAAGAAACTGCAAAGATCCCTAAGGATGATGAGACCAAAAAGCTGCAGGGATACAAGTGTGTGCTGAACTCAAAGGCATCTGAGGATTCTATGGTAAGCAAATGACAGAATTTAAACATCCATATATATGTGGCTACTTACTTGCCTAGCAATCACAGTCACAGGACAACCCAAAATCGAAGATGTTAACTTAAAACTAACTAGTCATGATCCTGAATCAGGTGAATTTTGCAATATGGGAGCCAGCACATGGACGTTTCTACTTTGGTTATCCATGGAAGCAGTACCAAAAAATTGGTGCAGCAGCACGCAGCTGTGCTTATTGCATTGATAATCTAAACAGTTGCATCGATTCTGAAATGCAGGTAAACTATTGCGCAGTGGCGGATCCACTATGGATTTTTGCTGCATAAGCACAAACATATGCACAGATAAAAATGAAAAAAAAAAAATTTAAATTTTGCACTACGCTTTCAAATCATACAGAAAACAGAACTTTGTCACGGTAAATAAAACTTGCTTTGTGATGAATACAGGCACCTGAGTTGTTGAAGCAATATATCACAGAGAGATGCACAAAGTTAAGCCTGTTCTGTTCAGAGGTGCTGAAAGATTTAGCCACAACAATCAAGACAAGGAAAAGATCATCCAGTATCGATTTCTTAGTTGACAGAATGATCTTTGGAGTAGAGGAATTCCAAAATGATCTTAAATCCCTCCCTTGTGATGTTCTTTCATTGACAACAGCTGAAAACTCTACTGACAATAATGGTGAGAAGTTAGAGACCCCAAACCAAGCAACTATGTTGGAGGTGTTGCCATTAGGTATGCTAGTGACTTTGCTGATCGAAATTGTAGCCAGAATTGAAGAAGTTGTCAAAGAAGTTGATAATTTAGCAAACATGGCAGAATTCAAGATCCAGAAAGAAAAGAAATTACAAGAGATTCCGAATCAGAATAAGCAAACAAATACCCAAGGCCAAGAAATAATGAAGGCCATTGAAGAGGTCTAAACTTTTGACAGTCATTGACCAAGAACATTTGATTTGCTTACTTCATGTACAGATCATCTGGTCGTAATATACTGTGTTCAGTGCCACCAGACATTCCCGATCTATAATTTCGACATCATGTATGTCTGAAATCTTCAACATGCTACCAATCATCTGCCAGAATACATATAGATATAGATCATTCTAGAGCTTTTCTTGTTTGCATGCATGCAGCTCATGGTTTGAACTGAATATCACATAATAAGGTTACCTTCCAAGATATTTAGGCTGAGAAAATCCCTAATTCATGGTTATGTGTATAATTTCTCAAACACGAAAATACTGTATCTCCTAACAATTATCTACCATCATCCATACCTGAAAAATCTACAAATAATTATTTCACACTTGAGCATAAACTTCCATGATTTCATTGATTTGGAATTCACAGAAGTTACAACTTACAAGGCTTCAAACAGACGATAAATATCAACGTGACAAAAAATAGAATTATTCATGACAGACACCCATATGACACTTGTGAATTCTAATGAGAAGATATATGTACTTGGCTCAACGCTTGACTTAGATAAGTCATGTATGTCACAGAGTAATCAGTGCAGTTGAAGATCCTTCATCAGGAATTTCTTCTTCCTCGGCCTCATTCCAACCGAGGTTAACAGCAAGGTCCTCTACCGCTACCTTAATCACATCAGTACGGACCCCAATATCTGTAGCATAACGGCTCATACAGTACATCCCGGCTGTCACAGTAGCTACACCCACAGGACTTGGCATCAACAACTTGAGAGGAGAAGAAAGTAGAGCAGCCAGTGGGGCCCCAATGACAGAAGAAGCTTGACCACTTCTTCCAACCCCTACTTTATCAATTAACAATAGACCAGTTTTACAGTATAATGCAAAGTCCTCACAGTTGTTCTCGAACACATTATAGTTCCCAAACCCATTTTGAAGAAGATACATTGCCCGGTGGATGACATATTCAGGTGGATCAGGTTGGGCAGTGGTGCATGTCCCACCCCTTACTTTGGCAATAAAGGCAGACGGGGTTACTCCATATTCAAATAAGTAGGGTGATCCATTGCCAAGAAAACAGTCTAAACAGGTGAGGACAACTCCACTTTTTGGTTGCCTGAATCCACAATCAGGGAAAGTAGGACATGAAGTCTCCTTCACAAGATCAGAATCGTCAGAAGCCTCTGCATTCTGATTTCGATCACGGTCAGGAGTAAAATGAACAACTTTGCTTCCACCGACAAATATGCCTTCAACAACAGATAACAAATTCTAGTCAGAGCATTGTGCGCTGTTTCAATTTAAACAGGTGGGGAAGGGCTGGGGGCCAGTCAATGTTTAGCCACTTAATAGAGTTATCAACTTAATTCAGAGCATAGGAACAGTAAAGGTACGCATGTTTTAAATATCATAAAAAACTGGCATGGAAAACTTAAAGCATGCCATTTAGTCCACAACAGTGAAGTGTATTCTCAAAACCATGTCCAACAGAGTTAGTTGCATGCCAACTTCATGCAGGGGGTGACTGGAATCTCATGTATATATCCACCTTGAAGAACAGGAGGAATTAGAGAACAAAGAGAGTTTTAGATGGCTTCTCATAAAAATATACTTAATTTTTATTATTTTTGAAAAAAAAAACACTATCCCCAAGGAAAAAACAGGTTATCTATCCATATGAACAGATAATTATCAAAATCAGATCATTACAATTGCATTTTGAGACTAATCTCACATTAACGCACAATCGATAGTGACCAGGTGAGAGACAGGTGTTCAGTCATGCCACCTACATACATATATCCTATGGGGCAATAATGCTAATAGAATAAACCAACAGTCTAAAGTTGATTATGTGATAATGTCATAATAAAAACGATTTAATCACACAATCTTTTGGTAATGCACTACTGATTTCCTGCATTTCATACCAGGAACATATCAGGATAATCTCTACTCAACCAAGGAGTGAGTCATGTCTGATTCAGCTTCTGCATTGTCCCAAAACTCCAACAATCGAGTCAAGCATGACAAGCACACTATCCTTCTATTGTCCTCATTAGACATTATCATTAACATAACAACAAGAATGTTTCGCGGTGTCCTACATGGCCCCAAGCCTGAAAAGATAGAATGCGTTTCCACAATAATTTTGATTTATATTAATTTATCCAATACAATTAGCTTTCCAACTAGCTTCAACTTTCAAAATACTAATAAACAACCCCCAAATCACAATCTCTAAATCAACAGGCCACTAAACCCACTCACAATTTCCTAGCTTGATCAATCTCCACTTTCGGTTTTTCACCTCCAAAATCTTCTATACAACAATAATCATACTTGAGATGGGCAATACATCCCCTAACACAATCTCTCAGCCATGAATGAAAAGGATTGTATTCTAGTTTGGAGAACATGCAACAAACAGTTACCTGATTCTTTTCTTCCAAAAAATTGCATACCTCCATGAAAGAATCAAACTTTCTTACAAGTAAGGCAAATTGGTTAAACCCCATTTCAAAATCAAACTATAGCAATCAACATACAAAATTCTCCCAAATCAGATTGCAAATAATTCTAATTCCACCAGCCTTAATAAACAAAAAAAATAGAAAAATGCAAAAATAAAAGGCGGATAATCCAAAACATTGTATTAACCCAAACTTATTACTATTATTAAACAATAAATTAACCAAAATATAACCTTGAAATTAGTATGAAAATAGAATCAAAAAAGTAAGAGAAGAGTACCATGGTGAGAGTAAGTGAAGACAGCTCTCCAAGTGTAAATGTGATCCCCTGATTTGATCTCTTCCCTCTCCACCTTGTGACTCAGCAACCCCATTTTCTCTCTCCTCTCTTTCTCTCTCTACTTCTTCTGCTAACCCTCAATTCCCTAAGTCAATGGAATTTCGTCAAAAATTAGAAGAATGGATTATTATAAAAATGTGGGTGTTGATAATCTCCAATGAAAACCGAATTAGTTAAGCAAACACCCACCAACTACAAATCAAATCATTTGTCGTTCATAATTTTAATTTTTTATTAAAATGTGAGTAGGTCTTAATCAGAAAAACCCAGCAAAAGAAGCGGAAAATGAAATGGTGGGATGATAATGATGATGATGGGTGATTTGCCTTTTGGTCTAGCCTTTGAGATTTTGACCTGTTTAATGTTGGGTTGGATTTTAGCTTTTATGCCATTTGATGTAATCAATGGATGTGTTTCTTCGTTTTAGGGCATGATTACTCTGATGATTCTATAAGTGAAACGCAAGCAATTAGATTCCCATTTACAATGCAGCTTTTGTACCATTTAGATTAGATTATTTGGCATCCTAAGCCAAAATGCGCCAGTGCATCATAAACAACACACGCAAACATTTTAAGGTTGTTGGTTCACCATCCGGATCCGACTCGGATAGCACACCTGACTTATGGTGGGAGAGGCTTGAACCCCACACCTCCCTTAAGCGACATAAAGTTACTTACCACTTGAGCCAACGCACTTCAAATAAGAGAATCCAAATCGGTAGAATCCAAATCGGTCATAATTCTCATATAATTGTCATTATTAGTATAGACAATAATATATAAGAGAAGAGCATTAGGTACATACATGTACTGACATACTAAATGTATCAAATAAGTACATCAATCTGCTCAGCGCCTCAGCAGAGCATTAGGTACACATACTGACATACTAACTATAACAAATGAATGGTTCCCAAATGAATACATCAACCTGCTCAGCAAACCTAACAATCTTTTGTATCTTCTGTGGCTCTGTGCACAATACTATAACATACATGCCAATAATTAAGGGCAGTAAAACACATCATTGGGGGAAAGAATATAACGGGTGAAGTGATGCAAAGACCAAAAAAGACTTGTACATTAGAACTCGGAAAAGATATTCCAATCGTAGACTTTCACGTCAAAATCCGAGGTCTGAGATAAAAGATGTCTCAGCTCGTCAGCACGATCCACATCCTTAGCGAGCAATAACGCAAAACCCCCACCACCAGCACCCACAAGCTTGTAGCCGCAACAATAAGGTTCGGCAAATTCAAAAAATCGATCAACAGATTCATTACTACAAAATGGATCCAGTTCTTGATGCAGCCTCCACGCCTCCATCATGATATCACCCAACTCATCTATATCTCCGTTCATGAGAGCTTCCCTCCCTATTTTTGCAAGTTCAGCAAGACGCTTGATGCTGGATACAAGCAGATTATCTCGTCTTAGGTAGCGAGTCACCACATTCTGCAATACTTTGCGTGCAAGTCGGACCTGCAGTGTGTTAAACTACTAGTCAAAAATCATGATTACGAAGTAGGGAAAACGACAAAATGAAAAACTGGTTTGCATTTAAGAGTTTTAGGCATCCATATAACCAAGCCAAAAACACCCACGCCCACAACAAAGGCAATTTCCCAAATGAATGTAAAAGATCACAGCACAGTATGACAGCTTTCTTAACAGAATTAATAATATCATAACACCTATATGTCTCAAACTAGAATTCTCCATGAAGTAGAAGAAATTAAATTAAAAACATTTGTAATATATAAAAGGCAGTTTTGCACCAATGAAAGATCTTTTCAGTAACAAGAATGAAATACTAGTTGAAGGGATTGTTGTTGTGGTGGCATTACAATGGGGTCTGTGACTCTGTGTCCAAGCCTCTTATTAATAATAGTTGTGGTCTTCATTTTAGACAGATGGAACAGTAGACAAGAAACATAACTACTTACTTGACCAGTAAATACCACAAGCAATCTCCGATGCAATTGTAACATCAATTCAGGGGATGCCGAAAGAGGAATGACTTGAAGCCGCAAAGGAATTCCAGGGAAGCTAGTTGTAAATTTAATACCAGGATATAACCCACCAATCTGATCCTGCCAGCCTCCCCCTGTTCCCATAAGCTGCTCTAGTACCAATACTAGCCTAGCAACATTGTCTTCCTCATCGTCCCCTTCAATTATTTGAAGAAGTCCCTTCACTACAGCAGCTGCAAGAATGCTTGATGTCCCTAGGCCACTACCACGTGGAACATTGGCCCAGGTTTTGATATCCAAGCCCATAGATTGAAAGTTCTTGTCATGAATGACACCAGTAACAAGCAATGCACACTTGACAAGCCTAAATGGATCATCACTATCAAATGGAGGGACAATGGAGGTAGGATCTTGGACAAATAGCTCATTTGAAGCATCATCACTAATTAATACACCAGCTGTCCTAGTTGTTTTTATGGTCGTGCCAATTGGGAGAGAACCTTCCAGACAGATAGCCATGTTAAGAACACAACCAGCACGCTCCAAACTCCATGGTGGAGTATCACTCCAACCCCCAACAAAATCTACACGTACAGGTAATTCAACCTTCACACTCCGGAGCAAGTTTTGCTCCTCTGCGCCAATGTCAAGATTGTTGCCTTGGTGTATTAACGCGGGTATGCCATGAGATGCATCCAGAAGATTCTCTGTAGACAAATAGAAATTCGCAAAATAGATAAAGCACATCAGATTACCCAGAATAATGGTAATCAATCCTCAAATCAAGTTTACCTTTAAAACCATATCTAACAGCTGATGCAGTTTCGTCTGCAACTGCAGCCCAAACTTTGCTTTCCAGATCATTTGCCAGCATCTCATCTCTACAGGCCCGGAGAAGGTCAGCTTTCACCTGGTATGCACGACTTTTAGGAATTATATTTGAGTTCTGCACCTGGAGGCTGGGACACATTGCCAAGAAGTCCTTGCAGATTTCAGCTCCTGACTTTTCTATTTGCAGTATCTCTTCACACAGTTGAAATAAGTTTCGTCCTAACAATCCATAGCTAATGCATGCCCTTGCTATACCCGCAGCTAGATCAGCTTGATGAGTATTGGAACCCAAGCACATTTTTTGAAAGTCAATCGATCTATGCAATGCTTCCAAACTCATTCGAGGAGAATTTCTCCATAAAATAAGCAAGGATTGATTTTTCTGGTCACACAATCCCATTAACCATGATGCTAATTGAAGCATTTCAAAGTAAGGGAGGATTGGAAATATTTTTGCATTCCATAAACATTTTTCACTGTCACTTGTAGAACTCCAGAGATCAGTTTCCTGAATGTGTAAATCACGCAACACTTTCTTCCACGGTCTCCCACAAAATGTTCCATCCTTAGACATCGAAGTCTTTGGGTTATCATGAAGACCACAGTACACAATAACCCGATCATTACAGCCAGACAATGGTACCTCCCAAATGCAGTGGCGATCTGGAAGCATAAATCTAACTTGATCTTGCACACCCCCAGGAATGTTTATACCAACAACAACAGACAGGGAGCCAATTTGTATTCCACCAGAAATTGAAGAATCATAAATGAGAGTATCTTCACCAACTGAGACTCCTGGAGCAATTTCACTGGATAGAATAATAGCTGAGGCTGCAATGTCAGATGTAGTGGTTGCTGGTATTGAGCAAAGATGTCTACGTCCTACAAGTCCAGAGTCAGCACCACTAAGATGATCCAATACTTCACTTGATGTACCATAATGCAAAAAGAGTAATTCATCTGCAATAAAAATTAATCAGAATATTAAATTGCATGAAGCATTCATGATTCATGAGATGCAAGGATTAAATCATTCAGAGACAAGGGCCAATAAGAGGAATGATGTGTCTCCCTTCCTCCCTGCTCTTTCCCCTTTTTTTTGCAACTCCAACAACAGTAAGGAGTCATGCATCATCAATGGGTGAGTAAACAACAAAAATAATAAGAAAGGATTGACGACTAGACTGAGAATTCATATTTCTTTATATGTTCACTGAAGGTGTGTTTCATTAATCTATGTATCCCCTGGTAAAAGTGCTTTAAAGACATGACTAAAGCCAAATAGACTTCAGAACTAGATGAATTAGTCGAAAAGTGAAATACAAAAATATGAGTCAATGCAGCATAAGCAAACACGTAACTGATAACATGAATATATGACCACTAGTCTTCATGTTTTAGATAATTTTGACATACGAGCACAATAGCTGAACATTTGTTGCTTTCCCAATTTATTGACAAGTTCCTCCCCCAATGGTCGCTTCCTTAACCATTCATGTTTTGTAGGCACCCAAGCTGCAACTAAATCTTCATACAAGCTCATCTGCAGATATACAACATGAATTAAGACTGCTGTGTTTATTACGAGAAAATAAAGCAACAACTCAACAAAGTCAACTATCTCAACCATACAAGCATTCTGATAAGAAAATCTCCAACTAATTTCATCTTAAACAAATTGGAGACACTAGAAGGAATTTTTTTTTTAAAAAAAAAAACACCGCCCCAAAGGGAAGAGGAGAAGCAAAGAAGAATCAAAGTTGAATGTAGCAAGATGAATGAAACCTCCTTTCACAAATGGAAAAAACTTAGACAGTAACTTCAAGAGATTCCCACAGGCCTTCTTAAGAGCCCTTAGAAAGAAAGATGTCAGAATATGCTTCAAAGACCTTGGAACAGGCACATACAACAGCAATTCGTAAACTTGATGTTCAAAGAAAGGCAAAAAAGGAGCATATTTTCAACTGACAGGCAATTCGCGTTTACTAAGAGTAACAGGCAACTCGCACCTTATAGAAGACACATCCGCAGAATTCACTACCCAAGAAATTGATTAAACTGAAATGCTTTTAAAAATACTTCAATAAATCAACTGTAAGCTATTAGGAATTTATTGACCAATATCAAATATATATGCTGCTAATAAATTACATGTCCATACAACAGCTTCTGGTAATTTGGTTAGGAATTCAGTAGCATACAATTTCACATTTGCTAATATGGATAACATAATAAATGAGAACATGAAAAATCAAGGAATGTACAGCATAAGGAAGATGATCAACCGATTCAACCCCATGGAAACAAAATATACAGCCCTCACTGCTAGAAAGTTATTTTTTATTCAGTACTTTTACTGACTTCAGATCACAAGATATGTTTCAAGTAACCATGAGAGCCTAGAAGATAAAAAAAAAAATAAATAAATAAATAAAAAAAAAAAAAAAAAAAAGACGTGCTTATAATTGAATGAAAGCTTACCTCTTTTTTACTATCTAGAAGCTGCAGAATCAATGATTGGCCAGAGCATGCAAGGTTGACAAGCTCAACCCATGCTTTACCTCTTACTGCTATAATTCCAGTGTCAAGCAATGTTCTGCCATCATCCAGAAGAGCCTGACTTTCAACAAGCTCCTCCTTACTAGGTTTCTGCAGAAGATTTTCAACTAAACTGACAGAAGAAATAGCATCTAAATTTGCAGTTTTAGAAGCCACCACAACACCATGATTAGAGGCAATGTCAAGAGTTATAGGAACTGTGATGATGCATGACGCATCCTCTGGCAGAAACATATTGGAGGCATCAAAACAAGGAAGTACGTCTCCCGTCATAATGAACAACCCACCTACATATCAAGACATGGTTTTAAACAGATCATTATGCAGGCTATAAGAAATTTGAAAATAATAATAAAATAAAAAAAATAATAATAAAAATAAAAAATAAACAAATTCATTGTTCAGCAGAAATCATTAACCTAGAAATACATGAAGATTTCAAAGCTACATAAACTTGCTCTAATCTATATGCTGCTAATTACTAATTAGACGAAGAAAAGCTAAAGTTACAGTAGCCAAGAAATGACATGCACAGCTTGGCAGGAAATAGAGAACAAAATACAGTCCTCTACACAGCCTACTAGCCTAGGATGCATGCTTTGTTCTTTCCTTTCACTTCGCCCCTCATAATGGGCAGTTGGGCACCTCCGACTGCGATATCCTTAAAATTTTGAGAGTTATGCGTAATTTAATAACCCTAGCAGATACTGATATTTCAAAGAAAAATCCAGCTTATACAGAATATGCTGCTTATATTAGAAAATATAGTCAAGTTATGAAATGACGTGAAAACAAAGATTCAATATTTCAATGCTAGAATTACTAATGACCTTTATTTTTGAAAGCCTGCCTTGCACAGGATGAAATTGCAAGTATATGGTCAAAAAGCAAAGGTACAGGCCCATCAGGGTCATCTGCTGCTAAATATGGAAGTGGCAGAAAAACCTTCCCCATAGGATTTGCCCATGGGACTCTTTTAGAGTCACCTCCAGCATGCAGCAATAGTATATGTTTTTTTTGCCAAAAAATCAATGCACAGCAGGTCAGGAACTCCATTGTCAAACCTTTCAGGAGAAGCAGAGTCAAGACTTCCATCAGCTCTTTGCACAGCCTACGCAAAAAAGCACCAATAAGTAACATAAAAGAGACGGAGTCCAGGTAAAACCAATAACTGATCTGTGATAATAACTGAAAAAAGCCGGAAACATAGTCCATGAGAAACATTCTTTAACATAAAAGGATTCAGTAAAATGCAGCAAAGTATGTACAACATGCCCTGGGAAAAAAAAAAAAATTAACAAGTGGTTCCTTACAAGATAAATTAATATGGAGTGCATGGACAGATCCATAGAACAGAAAAAGTTCGCCTGATGTTACAATCTGTGTGACAAAATTAATTTAATAAGATCTGGAATCAACCGTGTCATGCACACAAGTTACAAATCAAGGTGGTGTACACCTTTAAGATCTCTCCTGTCTGAAAATGCTGTTTTTCCACCAAACTTTAGTTACCATGAAGTCTATAAAGAAAGCAAGCATCAAATTGTCCATTCTCTCCACAGAAAAACGTGAACTGCATACTCGACTTAAAATAAGAATTAGTCACTCTGCTGCTCTGAACTAAGTCCCTAAAAGTAAGATGATTAGATGCATCAATCAAAGGGCTTCATCTACTCAGGGATCAAAGCTACATCATACCATACAGTACATACACCATTTTATGCATCTAGTACCTCTATTTCATATATTTCTTCCCACTTACTATTTCGGGCCATTTCATGAAATTATACCAATTTAAAATATTTCCTTGCATAGTAAACATGAACCTTTGGCCCACATGATTTCTCTCATACTCTCTTTTCCTTAAACAAAACAAATGGTCCCAAAATAACATTCTTTTTCTTACTACTTAAAAGATAAACTATGAATCTAATTATCTATTGTAAATGAATAAATTTCAATTCTTAAGAAATAAGCTAACTTTTGAGTAGCTTAATACCCACCTAAACCCTTACTTTTACTCTCTTTTAAATTAATTTTTTTTATCCATAAAATTAACATTTTCATGGCAAATGTAACAAGAATTGTGTGGATATAGATCTAGTGTCAAATAAAGGAATTACAGCTTGAAAGGATTCCTTTATGTAATATGTATAATAATCACCTTCCAGTCTCGTTGGCAGGTCTAATCAAAAGATAATAGAGCAATTCCTACTAATTACAAATCAAATTATGATTATCATGCAACTTCTCCAACTTCTTGAAAGTCTTAAATAACTTATAAAACAACCCATCTTATGAAAAACTGTCTTAACTTCCTATTCCATCCCATATTTTCAACCTTTTCCACTTGTTCAATTTTGAGTTGACTCCATCTGAACTTATAACGTAACATAACTCACCCGTTTCTTAATACTCGCAACATTTAACTTTTACTTACCAACTAAACCACGTCATAAGTGGGATCATTAAATTAATACATTGTACCAAAATGAAAAAGACTAAAAACAACATAATTACCGAATCATCTCCATTATTAGCCGCAATCCTCTGATAATGAAGAGCCAACTGATGAATAGCATTGAGAGTAGCAGCACCCGACCCGATACGATGACCATGAGGATCCGGAACAGCAAGAGTAACCGTAGATTCAGCAATCCGACCAAGGCGTTTAGCGCGATTAAGCTGCCATTCGTAGAGTTGAGCTTGCTCAGGACTCGCCGCCGTTAAAACGACGGCGTCCCACGTCGGAACCCTAGAAGGGTGGCGCACTGAAAGGCGTAATCTATACCATGATTTGCGCAATGTGTCGGCTATGTCTGCTTTTGTTTGTTTGTTGCTGTGATTTCGTTTTCGCCATTTTCTCTCTCCTCCGCCATTTTTGGTGATTTCGTCTTCCATTGTTGCCGACACTGAGATTGCGCGCGATGGTGAGGATGGGAATTTGGGAAATTGATGGGTTGGGATCTGCAATTTTGTGTTTTGCCGACGACAGTAAATTATGTCGAATGTTGATGTGGTTTACACGACGTCGTTTTGAAATATGTTAGAGTGTAATGGGGTCACCCATAGGGGTGTTCAAATCCGGGTACCCAGGTTTTTGGGTACCCGAAATTGCGGGTACCCGGATTATCGGGTAGTTGGACAGCCGGCCCATGTCCCGACCCGAGAAACTCGGGTACCCGGGTCTCGGGTACCCGAATTTCTCGGGTCGGGACATAGGGTACCCGGATTTTAAGAATCTTGATTAAGTAAAATTGGAAGGAAAATAGCTCAAATTATTAGATCTATTACTCAATCAAACACAAATTGATTGTAAATCAAAATTTCAAAATTCATACTCCATAACATTCATAAATTTAAAAACCAAAATTCCAAACTTAATTTACACATTAGTTTTACAGCAAACTTAACCCACAATTACAATTATATAAAAAAAAAAAAACTCCGATAAAACCAAAGAATGGGATTTGAAATCAGCCACATTCGAAAGCACCGCCACCGCACACCACATGCAGAAGCACCGTACCGCACCTGTGCTGCCACCGCACGAACTCATTAAAAATTTACAATGTGATAAATTCATATGACATCTTACTAGCAATGGACTGCAATTGATTTGTGAGATGGAGAAGAGATTGACGAGTTGTGAGATAATAATTCTTCAATCTAGGAATAAGATGGAGGAGAGATTATAATGTTGTGAGAAATTGAGAATTGAAAACGGAGAGGAAAATAGTAGATGACTAGATGCGGTTGTATGTAGATGGAGGAGAGACAATAGAGGTGTAGCGGTACCTGCGGTGTTTGCTGCTAAGGGGCCTTCCTTCACACAGAGAGAGGTAGAGGAGAACGAAGGAGAGATAGAGAGAGAGGGAAGAAGGAGAACTTGGTGGCTGGCAGGCTGCAAAGTGTTTAGAGAAACCCTAATTGTTCTTTTATATATCAGTAAAAAAAATAGCGGGTCAGCGGGTACCCGACTAACTGTAAGGTTGCCCCATGACCCGACCCGCTATACTCTATTTTTATCGGGTCAGGTACCCGACCCGAAAATTTTGTAAAAAAAGAAAAAGGGAAATTCCCATTGGTACCATCAAGGTTTTGACTTTTCCCAGCGGTACCACATTTTTTTTTACTTCCTAATGATACACCCCAGTTTTTTACTTACTAACTGACGTGATTAAGTCTGTTAATCAGACGTTAATAAGTTAGTGAATCTAGGTTAAAATATACTTTGGGTAAAAAAATTTAAAAAGACTAATTTACCCCCTTTTAAACCCTTCCCTCCAACGATTAAAACCCTTCCCCTTCCATTTATGTCGATTTGACATAAACCAAACCAATTTCAAAATTATTTCTAATTTGCTCTGTTGAATCGAAGGGAGAACCTAGGGTTTACAGAGATTTGTTGCAATTTTCGTTGGGTTTCAAAGCTTGGAGATTGATACATTCCATAATTCAGGTATGTTAGTACTACTACTGTTCAATTTTTAAAAAAATTGGTGATTTTGTTTGGTGTTTTGTTTTGAGTGAATTTAGACCAATTTCTTGATGAATATGTTGTGTAATTATGCGAATTTTGGTTATTTACATCTACATGTTAATTTAGGTTAATTTGTTGATGTATATGTTAATGTATATGATGTATATGGATGATATGGCTTGATCATGTTTGATTGATAGGTGAATCTGTGAATGTGCGTTGCTTAAAGTGTGTAGAGTATTTGTGCATGTTGTAATTGTGTACTTTGTTTGCCTTATTTTGCAGAATGGGTGATAGTAATGAGGTTGTGTTAAGGTTTCATTACTTTGGGAAACATATTGACTTTAAAGTTGACTTAGATACATGCAATTTGATTGACTTGGTTCTTGAATTTGAAGACAATGTTGACATAGACCCCGAGTTTCCTATCATCAACCCTTCCTTTAATTATGCTTACAATCAAAAGCATAACCCTTTATTAGATGATACTGATTTATATAAGATGTTTCAGAGCCTAGGTCAGTGTGATGTGTATGACATTTGGGTTGGGTTTGCCAAAAAACCAAGTCCTCTTAATAGAATGATCATGAACTTAAGGAAGTCCAAACATGCACCCCAAACTAATGAATCTTCACAGTTGACTGCACCCCAAACAGAACCTCCCAAAATTGATGAATCCACTAAGAACACTACACCCCAAACAGGATCTCCTAAGATTGATCAATCCAATAATAACACTGCACCCCAAACACAATCATCACAAAGAGATCCCTCTTAGCCTTTTATAGAAGAGATCATTTTAAATGATTCATCTCCACCTAGGTATGTTGATCATGATTCACCAGTAGATGAACTAATTCCTGAACAAAATGAACATGAGTATACCAAGGGTAGGAAACTGTTTGAGGCTTCCATGGCAAGGATAGAAAAGGCAAAGAAGGTCAATGTTGCAAAGAAAAAAAAAGAAAGCTGCCACTAAATCAACCCCAATGCAACCACCTTCCCCTAGGTCACCAAATACTGCTTTCAAGAGCTTACCTTTGAGAAGGAGCCCAAGATTTTCACCTATTACAGGGACTGAGACAGCTGATTCTAATGTCCAAATTTTTCCTAAATCATCTCAAAGCTCTGTTTTTGCAAAAAAGCTTCCCAGGACCACAACAATTAGAAAGGGGTTAAGGTTAAAGGTTGGTACTGCTGTCATAGAGAGAAGGATGCTTGGTGTTGAGTCATGTATGATTGAGAGTCAAGATTATGACCTTAGTACTGGTTTGAATGAGGGTGAAGAGGAGGGTCCAGTTAGAAAATTAAAGGTGAGAAGGAAGATGGATTTTGCTGTCCAAAGTGATGAATCTGGTAGGAATGAGAGTGAGGTGGAGGGTACTAGCTCTGGTTTGAATGAGGGTCAAGAGGAGGGTCAAGTCTCTAGTATAAAGGTGAGAAGGAAAAATATGCAGTTTGTTGTGCAAAGTAGTGAATCTGGAGAAAGAGAGGGTGATTGTGATGAAGAAGATTCTGATGGAGAAGTAGCACCAAAGGGGGATATACCTGCAGATGAGCTGGTACAGCTTTAAAGGATTCCTAAAATAAAGGATAATTGGAAACCAGGGAAATGGTTTGAATTTTTAGATGATGAAGATGATGAGGATTACTTTAAAAGGTTGTACAAGAATGGAGAGATGTATGAGGATGCAGATTTTGGCAAGATTCAACTCAGACCATGGATGATTTATACAGATAAAGCACACTTTAAGGATACACTGAAAGACTTTGTTGTGCAAGAAAGATTTGCTATTAATGTTGAGTATGCTGACAACAAGAGGTACACTGCAGTGTGCCAATCTCAGTGTTGTCACGGGAGGTTATATGCAAGCAGACTTTCAGATGGAAGAACCTGAGCCATTAAGAATATATGGCCCAATGTGCATACTTGCAGGGGGTTAGAGACATACAACCCCATATGCAATGTTAAGTGGGCTTCTCAGAAGGTTATGGAAGACATCAGAGCTAACCCTGACATTCCTGGCAAAGCACTAAATGAGTTGCTTTTCCAAAGATATGGCATATACATGAGACAGTCCACTTTGTACAGGTTAAAGAGTTTTGTCATTGAGAAGCTCTTTGGAGGACATGATGAGTCATACTCTTTGCTGCATATGTATGCTCAAATGTGCATTGAAACAAACCCTGGAAGTAAAGCTTTTTGTGCTTGGAAAGAATCTGAGTCCCTACCTAAGTAGTTTCAGTTTACAAGCATATTCATTTCTTTCACTGGACAATGGAAGGGCCTTCTTAGAGGTGTCAGACCTTTGATTGGTGTAGATGGAACACACCTCAAAGGAAATTATGGGGGCATATTTCTATCTGTTGTGGGTATAGATGGCAATAATGAGATTTTTCCCATTGCCTATGTTGTAGTAAGCCAAGAAGACAAGGAGTCATGGAGCTATTTCTTCTGGCATTTGCTGAATATTGTCAAAGAGTCCTCAAGAAAGCATTGGACAATCATTTCTGATAGGCAAAAGGCAAGTACCTAACTTTAATTTTGTTATTCAGTTTTGTTCTTGATATATATATATGCATACTTATCTAATTCATCACTGTTTCATGGAGTTGAATTAGCTTTGGACAATGTGTGGCCAGAAGCTGACAGAAGGTTCTGTTGTAGGCACCTTAGTAGGAACTACAAAAAGAAGTTTCCAGGCCCTCTCATGTATGTCCTGTTTTGGAGAGCTTGTAATGCTACTTCTGCTTTCACATTCAGGTATACTACTCAACTTCTGCTTTCACATGTGCATTCACATTCTGCAATTCTCAACATTTGCATATAACATTCAGGAAAGCTATGGAGAAGCTTCAAAAACATGGAGGTGATGAAGTCATGTCTTGGTTTGCAGACTTGGGGGAACAGTCCAAGTGGAGTAAGCATAAATTTGACCCTGATGTATGCAATGAATCCAATACATCTAATTTTGTGGAAAGCTTTAACTCCACACTTGGAGTTAATAGGTGTAGGCCTGTATTAACTTTGCTAGAAGGTATATTGTGCATAACTTGTTTACTTCAGTTGAATGTTTATAAATTATGAGTAGTCTAATTTAGATTGAATATGCAGGCATAAAGAGGGTATGCATGGTGAGAATTGCAACAAGGCTTAAGAATGCAAAGTCTTGGAAAGATGAAGAAATTTGTCCAAAGATTGTGAAACTGGTGAAAGAGATAGGAAAGGCAAGCTCAAACTGTAGAGTGTACAAGTCCAGCCCAGGGGAGTATGAAATCCATGAAGGTAGATCTCAGTTCCCTCCGAGCCTTAACAAGAAAATTTGTTCATGTGGGGCATGACAATTATCTGGGGTACCATGTTGGCATGCCATTAGGGCACTAATTGATGCAAAGTTATACCCACATGACTTTGTTAGCTCCTGGTACTCTATGAAGACATATAAGCAGTCTTACAGTGTGTGCATTAACCCCATTCCAGACACAGAACAATGGCCTTCTGATGACTTAAGTAGAATTATCATGCCCCCTAAGATGAAGAGGGGAATTGGAAGGCCAAGTAGGAATAGAAAAAGAGAAGAAGGAGAAGTGCAACCAGGCAAAAGAAGCAAAACAGTGAAGTGCAGCAAGTGTGGTTGCTTTGGGCACAATAAGGCAACCTGTAAGGGGGGCTTAACTGGAAAAGAGTTGAAGGCTTCTGAGCCTGTTGTCATCAAGAACCCAAGGGTCAGAGATCAATCTAATGCAGCAAAGGCTTCAAAGACAGCAACATCTGAGGCTGCAGGATCCAAGTCCATGAATCAAGGAAGACCCTCAGCTGAACATCCAACAGAATTGAATACCTCACAGATTCCTACCCAACCATTGAACCAGTCTCAAGCCTAATCTGATTCTCTAAGTTTGTATACAGTAGCAGAGAGTTATATGTATTCAACTCTCTTTTTTGATACTTAAGCTGATTTTTTGTTCAGTAAAAGCTAGGGAATTTAAGTATTTATTTTTGGATTCTGACAGTGTAGTTTGCTGTTTGAAATTGATATATTTTGGTTTGGAACTTAACTTTGTTAACTATCTACATTTTGGTTATATGAAATTAGCCAACTTTGCCCTTGTTCAAAGTTGTGATATCAGTTCATTTAGATAAAAGGTTGTGTTAGAATCATTACTAATTTCAAAAAGTATATAAAACACAAAGATAATTGATGTTTCCCTATTATCATTTGTCATTCATAAATTCAAACAGTACAACCTTTAATTTCTAATAATCTACCAAATATATGGCATGACAAATTAATATTGCTAATAATTTCACATAGTACATCACTTTCAATTGAGAGCAACAAAATAAAGTAAAATCAGGTACAAACTAAATCGAGGCTGCAAATTCATATGATCTCTCTGTAAATTCATTGGATTCTTCTCTCAGATTAGCATACTCAGCAACATTTCTCTC